TTTAAAAAATAAAAAATAAGATGATTATTAAAATGACATTTAAAATAATAAAATTAGCACAAATAGCAAAAACAATAATAAAATAGTATAAAAATGTTGATGAGAATTACATTTAAAACAATAAAATCAGCACATTAGATTAAAATAATAAAATCAGGGTCAGACTGTGTCATAAGCCAAGGAGATAAAATGGGTTTTAAGACGTGTTTTAAAAGTGGACAGTGAAGGGGGGGCCCCTCTAATGTGCTGGGAAAGATTGTTCCACAGATTAGGAGCAACAAATACAGTCCAGAAACCGGCTATCCGAAGACAGTGCAGCGGCTAGCAGCTGATGCTGACAGCTGGTGCTAATAGCTAACAGTAAATGTGTCCAATTGCTGCGGGCCATTCAGTCCTTATACAACCGTTGCAAGAGCTTGGTCCGCATAGCCGGCAATAAGTAGGACTCGTTCCTGATGGGTGATGGGCTCCGCCAGAGCTGCCTTTTGTCACCGATTCTGTTCATAATTTTTATGGACAGAATTTCTAGGCGTAGCCAAGTGGCGGAAGGCTTTCACTTGGGTGGTCTCAGGATCTCATCTCTACTTTTTGCAGATGATGTGGCTTCATCATCTGGCTTCATTGGGTGATGGCCTCCAGCTCGCCTTGGAATGGTTCGCAGCGGAGTGTGAAGCGGTGGGAATGAGAATCAGCACCTCCAAATCTGAGGCCATGGTCCTCAGCCGGAAAAGGGTGGAGTGCCCACTTCGGGTCAGGGACGAGTTTATTGTCCCGCAAGTGGAGGTGTTTAAGTATCTCGGGGTCTTGTTCATGAGAAGGAAGCAGGGAGCCGGAGATCGACAGACAGATCCGGTACAGCGGATGCGGACGCTGTACCCGTCGATCTATGCCCCTACCCTCACCTATGGTCACGAGCTGTGGGTAGTGACCGAAAGAATGAGATTCCGAATATAAGCGGCGAAAATGGGCTTCCTTTGAAGGGTGACTGGCCTCTCCCTTAGAGATAGGATAGGGTGAGAAGTTCGGCCATTCGGGAGGGGCTCAGACTAGAGCCACTGCTCCTCCACATCGAAAGGAGCCAGTTGAGGTGGTTCGGGCATCTAATAAGGATGCCTCCTGGGTGAGATTTTTGGGGCATGTTGCACCGGGAGGAGGCCCTGGGGCAGACTCAGGACACGCTGGAGAGATTATATCTCTCGGCTGGCCTGGGAGTGCCATGGTGTTCTCCCAGACAAGCTGGAAGAGGTGGCTGGGGAGAGGGAGGTCTGGGCTTCTCTGCTTGTGCTGCTGCCCCCGCAACCCGGCCCCGGATAAGTGGAAGAAAATGGATGGATGTCTTTTCCTGCTACTATTTAGGTTGCTTTCAGTCTACACTGGATCATTGAAATAGTTAGTGAATCTGGTTCTCTTGTTTGTTGTTGTGGTCTGCCTTCAGCCTGTAAGTTACTTAACTTGTTTGTTCTGTGCAGAAAACCCTGGAGATCAGAGAGAGAGGTCTTCTATGAAGACTTCTATGAAGTTAAGGAGAGGTAGAATTCCCTGTTTTGTTTGGACATTAGACTTCACTGACAGAAAGCCTTTCCCTTGTGAACTTTATTGTATAAATAAACTTGTTAAACTTTTGCTGGGTCTATGATCCAGCATTTTGTGTTTATTTTTGTATTTATGACTTCGTATGTTATATTGAAAGGATGCTAAGTTCTAGGATTATTATTTGTTTGCCTTGAGTTTAATTTATATTTCTCCTAGGTTTTCTGTGTTAGTCTCATGTATTTTTTGTCTGTGTGTTTCATATTGTCTAGCCGGTGTTAATATCTTTACGTCTCTTCATGTTTCCTGTTTTATTCTGAAAGTCTTGTGTTTCCATTTTCCCTGATCACCTCTTGTCTGTAATAAGTCCTCTGTCTTCCTTTGTTCAGTGTCAGGTCATTTCTTTTCCTTCCATGTCTTGTCATAGTAACCTTAGTAGTCATAGTCACCATAGTCATCATAGTTATCACAGTTGTCATAGCTGATTTATAGTTTTCATAGTTACCTCAGCCATGTCACAGTTTTCATACTATATTTTCTACACTATGAGGCAAACTTAAAATCCTTTAATTTTCTCAAAAACCAACAGTGCGCCTTATAATCCGGTGCACCTTATGCATGAATTGTGGTTGTGTTTACTGACCTCGAACCGATTTTATGTGGTACACGGCACTCAAAAATCTGTCAAAAATGTTTTAGTATGACTTTGGTAAGCTATGAAGCTGCACCACTTGATGGATTGTCAGAGCATTACGGCTACGGTAGTTAGGAACCTCGCAGAGTAATCTCGGTCCTAAACTCTGTCCCTTCAGGTCCCGAACACTGCGGCATCACTGACAGTTAAAAACTATCTAAATTCTTTCATCTCATCCAGGCATCCACGAAAACAGAATGTATTAAATTTAACGGAGATAGAAGTTAGCAGGAAGTTAGCTTGCTAGTTTCCACCTAAACATGATATAGCATGTTCTGACTGAGAGATTTCTGAATAATTAAAACGCACAGCTCTGCTAACACTTCCAACATAAATGAAGACAAAAAAACCCCTAAACAGCAGTGACTTTTGTAGGGTTACTGAAGTTGGGCTAGCTGGTATATAATGAAATGATGTGCTATGTGATCACTAGCTACACAGCTATGTTAGTATAACATACACAGTGAAGATGGAGGATGAACACTAGCTTTTTTCCACACGATAAAAGTTACCGTGAGGGTTCCTGATGGTTAGGGACTAATGCAATTGCATAGCAGGATGCTATAAACGAACTAAAGTTCAGTCAGGAGAACAACTGAGATAATCCATCCACAATACGAGGTTAGTCATTAATATACTGCAACAACATGGGAATAGAGCCACTGCAGAGAATTCAACATTAATGAATCAATGGTACGGAAGTGGAGGAAGGAAGAAGAATGAGTTGAGTGAGGTTTTTTGCCTTATAGTCTGAAAATACAGTAGTTTTTTAGTTTTCTCATTTTAGGTTTCAGTTTAGTTGTCGCTCCTGTTTTGCCTTTGCTCGTGTTTTATGTTCATGTCCACCAGCCATAATAAATAGCTCACTCTTGGTTTCAACTTCAGTTCACCTCTCTAGTGTCTGCTTTTGGGTCCTTTTCACAAACTCACTGGCATACCCCGCCGTGACAGAGTTCTACCCATTTTGGTGGCCTTGACATGTTGATATTAAAAGATCTAGTAGAAATGATTAAGAAGAAACTATGTGGAGTGTAAGTAGTATCATTGCAGACAGGTCCAGTTCCTTTCAGTAAAACCCCATTCCACATAAAAAGGCTGCTAAATAATTCATATTCTTAAATGTAGAATTTAAGTCAATACCTAAAAATTATACTCATATAAAGTAGTAGGTACAATTCTCGCTCACCTCGCTGAATGTGCCCCGGCCAATCACCTTCAAGATGTGAAAGTCTTCTCTTTTGATGCGGGTTTTCTTAACCTCCTTTACTAGAGGCTCAGCTGTGAGAAAGGAGAGAAGAGACAATGATTTCAATTATTTTACTTTATTATTTCAGTGTTATTTGAAATAATGGACCTAAAAATGGTAATGCAGTGGCATTATTTTAAAAATATCATTTTTTCCTAATTTAACAATTTTGCAGTAATTTATCAGTGTGGGACAATTTATTAGTGTGCTCTAAATACATTTTTTTCTTAAATATATATTTATTAGATTGAAACAACAAAGAAAAAGAGATACACACAACTGTTATACAATAAGTAAGTAGGTTTCACAATTATTGCTTAAGCTGATGTAATAAATTACAGCTTAATAACACATTCTCATATCTTTTAATTGCTTTTATCACTTTACCCCCTACCCATCCCACACAATAGCCCTGTCCCTTGAGCCAGTTTAAAAAACAACAACAACAAAACAACAAAACAAAACAAAAAGCAGAACAAAACAACAACAGCAACAAAAACAGAGAATTTACTGAGTAGTGCTAGAAGTGGGGAAAAATATTTCAGGAATTGCCCCAACACCTTGTAAAATTTCCTGCTGGTATTACTAATTGAATAATGGATCATTTCGAGGCCTAAATAACACATAAGGTCCCTCAGCCATTGAGCTACTCCATCTTAGCAGGGTTGCATGCCTAGCCACAAGGGAAGTGAAAGACGGTGTGTGACACTGTGACAAGATCAACTGTGCATCAGTCTCTCCAGTGGTGCCAAAAAGTGTAGCTAATGGATTAGGACCCACATGCTATCCAAGAATTAGTGCCAAAGTTTGAAATGTGTCTCTCCAGTATTTTTCTAGATTAGGACATTTCCGAAACCTTGGGGGTGGGCACGCTACACAGCATCCGGATGACCATCAGGGTGTACAACCTCACCCCTGGCTATGCGCTTACCTGCTCTCTGGCAGGTAGCTCCATGCCCTCCTGGAACACACATGCATCAACACTACTTATGAGCGGACGGAGGGAGGTTTGGAGTCTTCACACCCCCCCGTTCTCTGTTGCCTGTTGGGGCGGGGGAGCTGGAAGGAGGAGTCGGCCATCCAATTGGGGTCTGGAATGTGGGGCCTCCCTGCTGCTGCGGAGTTGGGGCGGTCTGTGTCTCTCCACCCCAGGGAAGAGGGTAACACTACCAGGGTCTGGGTGCAGTTTCCCCCTCCAGGGCCAAGGGTACTTAGATCTGGGGCTTAGAGTACGCTTTGGGAGTGTGATTGTGTGTACAGTGTCTATTTATATCTTTCTCCACATTGGGTGAGTGCTGAGTAATTGCATATGAGAGTATGAGGGTGGGAATGGATGTTTGTATCTGTGTGTGCCTGTATGTTTGTGTCTATATGTCAGTTTGGGTATCAGACGTCACCTCTCTAGGGACATCTCAGGCCCTCGAAGGTATGAAGACCTATCTCCCCCCACCACTCCACGTGCCAGTGGCAGATGCCCTCACACATTGGTGCACTGGTGGTTCTCTGTGTCCGGGGATGGGCGTCCAGGTACGCACCATCTCACTCCTGGTGGCTGCTTGTCGGGGCCTGGAGCCTGGGGCTCGCTCGGGCCCCTTCGGGGGGTGGGGTGCCCTTGGCCTCGGGCTTGGTCACTCTGGCACAGCTGCTCCACGGCTGCTGAGTGACCCCTCATCTGGGACTCTCCTCAGCTCTTTCTGGGATAGTGGCACGGTTGCCCCTCCGTTGGTCTTCCTTGGTCTCTTGTACTCTGAGGGGCTCTGGATGTCTGGAGCCTGGATCTCCTCCATACCTGCTTCATGCTCTGGAGGACGGGGCTATGGCTTCCCACACCCTCTAGCAGATCATTACATGAAGGAACCTTTTAAATACAAGCGCGCTCATGCTCACAGGTGTACACACGGGTGCTCACACACACAAACTACACCCTCTTTGGCTCCTACCTCAAAGCACACTGTGCACTGTCGATCTTACGTGCTGCACAATAATGTTTAATATTTAGTATTTACTGTTACATTCCCATAGATCATCGCGATGATGTTGTTTATTATATTGCTCTCTTTTTTTTTGCTTGTTTTCTCTTTTTTCTTTCTCAACAGGTGATCCAGGTGATTGATATATGTATTTTTGTCTGTTTGTTTTGTTGGTTTTTGTTTTTTGCCCCTTTATCACCGTTCCTCTTCCCCACTGTTTTTCTTTCCCTCTTTCTTTCTCCCTTTTCTTTTCCCCAGTCAAGTCTGTCCTGTGTTTAGCAAGTGAAAATAAAATAAACAATAAAAGCAAAGGTGAATCAAATAGACCAATACGGCAAGGCTGCAATGGTCCATTTGGTAAAGTAAATCCGTTGGGCATCTTTCTTTGCCTTTAGACAGTAATTCTGATGGCAAAAGAGCCAAACGGGATAGGCGAAAAAATACCAATACTAATAAGTTTGATGTGTCACATGGCCCTCTTCCTATTGAAAAAACAAAAGTTGTATCCAAGATGGCCGACTTCTAAATGGCCACCATGGTCACCACCCATCTTGAGGAGTTTGCCCCCTCACATATACTAATGTGCCACAAACAGGACTTTAATATCACCAACCATTCCCATGTTATTACGGTGTATCCGTATAAATGGCCCACCCTGTACATTAAGGTGCATATCCCTGACATTGCAGCTGCTGCTATTGGAAGATTTAGTGTCTGAGAATGTCTGAGAAAATGTCTGATCTGCAGATATCTGAAAAAATGTGTATATGGGTGTGGTGGGGCATGGTCTGCAATGCTGCTGCAGGTGAGATGGATGCACCTGCGTGGCATCTGCTATCACGCCTTGCCAACTTAAAAGACTTTGCACAGTCTGAGTAGTTGTGTTGTGGATGTGTCGCCTGGCAGCTGGGATGCTGCAGCCATTCATGTGTGCAATTAGCAACCATGTGCCTCAATAAAGCATGTTGAAAAGCTTGAAAATATCTTTGGGTCTGCCTTGTTTTATCACAGTGGTGCCGAAACCCAGGATGGGGGGCACAGCAGACCCACAAACTGGCCGCCAAGGGGAGGAGTTGGCCTGAATGGTGGCCAAAATGGTCAGCACAGAAGAGCTGTAAGACTGGACCCAGCAGCATCTACAGGTAATGAAGAATCTGGCACTCTCACTCACACCGGCATTCCCCGACAGCGTTGGCGTGGAGGAGGTCCAGGCTGTTCTGACGACCATGTCAGGCCCCAGGATGCGACAAGCCAGGACATAGCCGGCCGCCGCACCCATCCCTACTCATCAAGTGGTAGCAGCTTATGCCCGGCAGGGATCTGTGCCCGTTCCTGCTCCCTGGAGGAGGGCCGCGGAGCATCTCCTGGGCTCGCCACAAGCTCAACCACCTGCTCAGCAAGAGCCGGAGGTCAGCTCATGGAGAGCGCAGGAGGAACCTGCCACACTGTTGCTGGAGGTGCCCAAGGGTCCGCGACTGCCAGTGTACAGGAGGCATGCCTGCTGGCGGTGGAGGAGGTGGACCAGCTTTCGGTGAGCCCCGGCTCACTTCTACGTCTACTGCGCTGTCGCTGCTTGGCCCCCTGGACCAGTGCCAGGGCTGCCGCTGGGTACGCAGGGCGTCCCCTGGATCCACATTGTCACTGGCGCTGCTGGATATGTGGGCGATCGCCAGAGTGGTCACATCCCTGTCCCTCACCAGGGCCCAGGAGCACCAACGGTCTGGGCGGGGGGAACAGTAGGTTCGGCTAGATGGCTTGCCGGCCTATCGGGCAATGGGGGTATATGGCGGGGCGTGGTCTGCAGTGCTGCTGTAGGTGAGATGAAAAGGCTTTGCACAGTCTGAGTTGTTGTGTTGTGGATGTGTCGGCTGACAGCTGGGATACTGCAGCCATTCATGTGTGTATTCAGCAACCATGTGCCTCAATAAAGCATCCTGAAAAGCTTGAAAATGTCTTCGGGTCTGCCATGGTTTATCATAGTGGGAGATACATATTTTAAGATGTTTAATTTTTTTAAGCCTAAATGCCTCCTCATCTGAGCCCACACCCTCACTGTGAGCCAGACAACTGGATTATCAGTTGCTCTTGTTTGGGGGTAGGGTGGGTGAAAATCCAATCAGAGCCAGAATAGATGAATCTGTAGCCAAGTTCAACTCCATGGACACCCAGGAAGGGCAATTATCTTTGTTTTGGAAATAGACCCAAGATATAAGCACGTATTTGCTGCCCAATAGTAATACCGGAAGTTAGGCAGTGCCAGGCCTCCATTAGTCCAAGACTTTTGATGAAGAGCTTTATTCAACTGGGGGTGTTTACCTCTCCATATATAAGATGATATAACTGAATTTAAAGAATCAAAGGATTTGGGAATAAATATTGGCAGCAGCCTGATTGAATGCCTTCTTCCCATCTAAGCAAAGAATGCACTCAGGATTCTGACCGGAACGGGTGTATAATATATTTAATAGACAACAGATATTGAAATAAGAGTAAAGATTCTTAATGAAACCAGTTTGATCTTTTGATATAATGGATGGGAAATTATTTTCCAGCCTGCATGCCAAAAATTTAGCCAAAATATTACCATCGACATTTAATGTAGAGATTGGCCTGTAGGACGAACATTCCACTGGACATTCCTCTTGGGACAAGAGTGATACTTGCCTTGAAATAGGATGGCGGAAGTTTACAACACGTGCATGAATCCGCTCCGATTCATGCACATTAGACATAATTGAGGTGAAAGCAATGATGAAAATGCTTTGAAAAATTCTATGGGAAATCCATCAGGTCCAGGTGATTTTCCACACTGCAGTGAGGAATTAGCTGCGCTCAGCTCCTCTTGCATTATGGGTTTGTATAATCTATTTTTACTATCAGAGGAAAGCGTAGGAATGTTCAAAGCGTTAAAAAGTTATCCATTAAAGTGCTTTCCTGTGGGAGTTCAGAGGTGTAAAGTTGAGAGTAAAAAGTCTTAAACATATCATTAATTTTGGAAAAATCCAAGGTGATATTACCATTATTCATTCTGACTTTTGTGATATGTTGTTTTGCCTGAAAGC